TGTTATTAACTTATTTTCTCTCTCATGTAGTACGAGTAGGACACTAGGGAGTGTCATGGCTGTCTTTCTGTGGCGCGATGATCCAATTAACACTCTGTGGCTGAAAGATTGCTGTTCATTCCATCTAACTCCTCAGACGTGCACACCTACTCTCCATCAACTCATCAACTCAACAGTATATATACCCCGGCTCTCAATCCACTCGCCAGATCGTTCTTTCAGCTACGGTAGAATACGGTTCAGGCGTAGTTTTTGATAGACTTTTAAATACTTTCTTGTGCGAGTTTTGTTCTGATATTCATCCTGTTTTTCTTTTACTTTAGGTTCACCCACCTGCCTTCTTGGATTCAAAGCCTCTCAATCAACCAGGCTCACATCGCAACTCTGCTCTGATCAGCCGTCTCCCTTTCACTCTGCAGACCTTGTGAATCATCGTCTCATCTCCCTTCCTCTGCAATAAACCTCATTACAAGTCAACCTGTTGTTCTTATGAATTCCATATTATTCCTCATATATATTCCATATTGTTTTTGTTTGCCAATATAGTCTTATAAGTTAGGAATGTCTCAGAAGATATGAGTGGACGCTCCTGCTAGTTCCCATTTCTTAACCTCTTAAAACTGTAATCCATTGGTTCTTTTTGATATATTATATAAATATAAATGATCTGCTTTTTAATACTTCCTTAATTGTTAACATTAAAACTCTTCTATATTCGATGATAAAGCACATCATTTGTATAGTTTAGATGGGTAAACTAGACGATATTATGTGATATTGATCTAGGAAGACCACATTTCTGAATGATTTTTAAACATTTTTCTAATCACACGTAATTAATGTAATTTACTCTGGTTGAATCTTGATTTTGATTGTTTTAAATTTGTATATGGGGACTTCTTGTGGCAGATATTGGAACAGAAAGAGCAGAAATCTCTCCACTTTACATTATTAGAGATAAAGGAAGGGTTTTTGTATCTAAAGCAAGTATCAAAAGGCATGCGCTTTACAAAATGAAGAATACAATTCATGCATCCATGTTATCCTAAATTATTTTCATGTTGTCAGAAATAAACTAGGGACTGACAAGCCCCTTATTGGTGCCATAGATAACAGGACCACATGCAAAATATTCACAAATATTTAAAAGGGTTGGTCTGGTGTAAACCTCCTTGTGACATGATATGTTGTCAATGTTCCACATTTTAAAGAGCGATTGATTTTCCTGTATACATTTTTAGTAAGAGAATACAGTATTTTATAAATTCCTGCCTGTTTATATATGTCTCTAAATACTTACACATACACATATATATACAAGCACTTACTCACATACATATACCCATCCTCACACATACATGAATACACACACTCAAAGTGCACATATACAGTATATACATACAAACGCAAGTGCCGACCATATACTGTGGTCTGAGATATGCCGACTCCCTATACTGCAAGTCAGAGTATTGTCCACCAAGGCTTGCTCACCAAGAAGTAGTCCAATCTGGAGTGTGAATTGTGGGTATTGAATAGAAAGTGTAATCTTTCTCTGTCGGATGTGTTAATCTCCATATATCCACTAATGCTTGGTCTTTCATCAGAGTATTCAAAGCTTTTTCAGCTTTATTTCTACTTTTGCTTGGAGCAGAGGGCGATTTATCAATAACTTTATCCAATACAATGTTAAAATCCCCCCCCATCACGATAGGGATATCTCCCAGCGCTGAGATGTGGTTATTAATTTCATGGAACACAGTACCATCAGAATTGGGGGGCGCATAAATATTAATAAATGCCATTTGGGTGTTGTTAAGAGAACCAACAGTAATGGCATACCTCCCATAAGCGTCACTTATATTTTGTGTGATGATAAAGTTAAGTTTTTTGTGAAAAAGAGTTACCACCCCTCTACTTTTGGTATCATATGTGCTGGATGACACTTGGCCAACCCATTCCCTTCTCAGTTTCATAGCTTCTTGTTGGAGAATATGAGTTTCCTGCAGAAATAATATTTGACAATTTTTACTTTTAGCGAAGTTCAGTGTTTATTTTCTTTTAATAGGCTGGTTTATCCGATCTCTGACGTTTCAAGTCATGAGATGTATTGTACTATCTCTACTCATTACTAGATGTGGCATTGTATTTATCAACTTTTGACCGCCCTTTAACAGAAAATACACACAAAAAAAAACATAAAATATTTACATACACACGAACATGCTCCTCCCTCCCTCCCCTGCATCTCAACCCCATGCTTTGAGAGCAATACCCTAAGTAATTTGGTGATGGCATTAGACGCTCAACACCAAAGACTCCCGTTGGACCCCCTATATTCAGAGTAGTTTACTGTCAGGGAACTGAGTTTTTATTCCTAATAATAGAAAGAGGAGCCTCATTTTACAAGTAAAATACTTTATAGTAGCCACAGTAATTATTGCAACATAAGAACTCAACAACATTAGGCAACTCCTATTCGGGCCTGTAATGTATGTTAGTATAGAATCAATCTATTTAAATATTTGAAATAATGGTCTACAGGTATATCTGGCAAAGTCAAAACAAACTAAGACACACCTCCAAAAAAAAAGAAACAAACCAACAGAACAAAAAACAAAAAACAAAAAGGAAGTTACTCCTGATACTTTAGATAGCAATATTTTACAGTCAGGAGTGGCAACCTGTAGTCATTTGTTAGAGAATGACCAAGTGTTGTCTTGAACAAATATAAAAAGGCCCAGTTGGCAGATTTAGGCTACTTTAGTGAAGGCTAGATGCACCTAATATTGCACCCAAACAGAAACAAATTTATCCCCAACTCGTTGTAAGTGTTCCGTTTTGTTAACGAGGCTCTCAGTCAGTTTGTTTAGAAAGTACTTGCCAGAACTTGAAGCAGAGCATCCGGTTTACTTCGGTTCTTACGATGCTGTCTCTGGTTCCTTGAACGTTGCGTTGCCCATTTTTTGTTGTTGGCCCGTAAACACCTGCGCCGGGTGCGCCTGCAGCTGGTCTCCGTTGATGATACCCCTCTGGATGAGAGCCCGCCTTGCTTCGTTGGCAGTGGCGTAAGTTTGGATGCCATCTTCAAAAATGACCTTCAGCTTAGATGGATATATAACATGGGATTTCACCTGTTTCTCTTTGAGTTGTTTTCTGATGGGCGCATAGAGACGCCTCTCCTGCTGCAGTTTAGCAGAATAATCAGCGCCCTGGAAAGTTATGGTTTTCTTCGCCCATGCAGAGTTCAGAACATTTTGCTTCATATCCCACTGTAAAAAGCGGACATTAATGGACCGGGCTCCTTCCGTCACAGGTCTGTTTGCGAGTGATCTGTGTGCTTGCACAAAGGTGACGTCATCCCCGGGGATTCCCAGATTGTTTGCAAAAAAAGTTTTCAGGAAACCCCCGATGTCCTCTCCTTCACTCCCTTCTTTCACCTGGTAGATTCTTATATTCAGCTGTCGAGATTTATTTTCCAGATATTCCACTCTGTCTGCTACTTTTGTCTGTTGTTGCAGCAGGTATGTGAGGGTTTCTGTGACGGTGCCTTCTCTAAAACATGCTCTAAAACTTATTGTAGCTCAGTTGTCAGGGACATTACTGGTAGTTGTCTTTAATTATAAAGGTAAATATTCTTCCTACCCAATCATAAATTAACTGCATTAGTATTTGGTTACAAAAAAGGTAAAAATAATTAAAATGTATATTCATAAGTAGAGACAAAGGAGTTCATATACATACAATAATTTGTTGAATAAAACATGAAATAAACATGTTTACAGCCTGGTACAAAAACAATGATTGTCCTCAGGGACACACACTGTACGGGGGGGGGGGGTGAATGTTTTGATGACTCATCAGTTTTGATGGATAAGCGTGTAGCTGACTAAATAAAAAAACAGGTTCAACAGAAGGCTGTAAATGGAGCACTAGTTTTCCCTTATTATTGATCACAAAAATGTTAAACTTGACCAAATAGTAAAACAAATCAAAAGCAATTATAGTGTGAGGATGGCTGCCTGGTTCATAAATAAATGCAAGGCAGAAAGTGGTAAAGTTACATATTAGTTTATTGTGGTTAGCTTAGCTTATTTCATTTGGCTAGCTATGCTATTGAGAAACAAGCTTCCATTACACATTACTAGACTAAACCAAGATGAAGGAGAAACAAAAATACCATTCTGTGACAGACAGGTCTGATAGAGGAGCTGAGGCCTCCATTGTCAGGTCTTTTACATTTTTGACAGTTGAGAAGGGAACGTCTCTCCGCGAGTGGGCGTGGCTTCGGCGCATTCCATGGACACGCCCACATCATCCCAGAGGAGAGAGAACAGCTACATTTTTCATGATTTTGAAGCTTCATTTTATAAACTTATAGGTCTTTTTCGTTGCTGAAATTTGGCCTGGAGGTTCATAATACATTCTTCTTCTGTATAAAACACTAAAAAACTTTTTTGTTTTTTTTGGTTTACAGGGACTTTAAAGACAGTTTTAGAAAACTATTTTCTGCATCAATATTTTGAAGCAGTGGTAGAAGAATTCTTGAGTTTAAAAAAGTGAATAGTGGTGCAGTGCTGGAAAACATGAAGACAGGATTTTAAACTTTTCACATTATGTGATATAGTTATGCATTTACCATAGTTTGTGTTCATTTTTGTTATGTTGTTTACCAAGGGAACATTAGCTGGGATTAAAAACTAAGTGTTGGAGCATCGGTGGTCTAGCTGCTCCGCTCCCCATGTAGAGAGGTAGTTGTGCTTGCAGAGGACAGTCTGGGTTTAAAGTCAAAGAGTTGTTCAAAATAAGACGGACAGAAATCCATAGACACACAAGAGACACACAATGGGCCTCATTCACTAACAGTGTGTACGCACAAATATGTGCTTAAACTGTGCGTACGAACGTTTGAAGTACAAATCTGGGATTCATCAATATATTCTTACTTGAATTTGTTCTTACTCTGCGAACAAACACAGAACCTCCTCAGACCATGCGTACGCACAAATGATTGACCAGCTTTCTCAGAAAATGTTAACATAAATCTTTCAACTAGTCTAAATGCAAGACATTAAAAATACATTCAGTAAAAAAATATAGCCTTTATAAATATATATATTTAAAAAAATATTGAAAACGTGAATTAACTGAAGCATTGACTAAATGTAGTATTAATGAATAATTAAATGTATGCCTTTTCATCCTTTAATCTAAAATCTTCAATCTAATTATCGATCTCTCCCACCAATAGTGCCACGAAAGATCACATCTGTTACCAAAACCAGCTGATTAATCTGAGACTATTTAAGAGCATGCAGGGAACATACATGATTATAATTTACGTCTAAGAAAGTGTAAAGATCAGCCTTACTGAAACAAATAGCAGCTGGTGCCTTCAGAAGAGAGAGCATCAGACCATCAGAACGTTTGAAGAGTGTGATGAATGACTGATCAGCTGATTCTGTCTGCCAATACACGTA